TAAAATTATAATTCAAAAAATGCACTTGACATTTGAAGAGGTATTCAAAGCAAAGTCATTTTTCCTCATTTCAAATTTGGAGGTAATCTTTATCAAGTCTTTCTTTTGACTTTTCTGCCTATCTTTCAGCATGTATTTTTACAGGTCTGTTTATTGTCTGCCCTGTTTGTCATAGATTCTTTGCCCACTTCTGTGCACAAAGGATTCTCTTAAATTTTAGTACATTCCACAGCATCAAGGATTTATAGCTTGACTTTATTCAATTTTATATATTGTGTTTTATTAGTTGATTGCTACAGATCTATTTGCTTCCCCCAGGGTATTCTCTTGACAATGATACCAGACCAAACACCCACTGCTGCCCAGTTGCTTCTGACTTATAGCCACTCCTTCTTGGGTTTCCAAGGCAGTATCTCCGCAGAAATAGTTTGTGCAGTCTTCCTTCTGAGGAGTGGCTGGTGGGTTTGAACTTCCAGCCTTCTGGTTAGCAGTCAAATACTGTAGGCACTAAACCACCAGTTAAAACCTGAAGTTATGTGATGTTATTATTGTTAAACCTCTAAAACCAAACCCCCTGCCATTGAATCCATTCTCATAGTGACCCTATAGGACAGAGTAGAACTGCCCAATAGAATTTCCAAGGCTGTAGATTTCCAAGGAAGTAGACTGCCTCATTTTTTTCCCATGAAACAGCTTGTAGGTTTGAACTGTCCTAAGGGAAAATTACTAGGAAGTTATAATAGTCAAGAAAGGACATTTTTATTTGTCACATGCAGCAAAGGAAAACAAATGTGGGAAATCAACAGACATGTCATTAGAACAAATGTCTGAGAAGCATTACAAAAATCAGTAGTATATATTAAAAACTACAAATCAATTGACAAATTACATATCAATGAAATCTTCATCTTTCCACAGATATGCTAAAATTATCAAATTATCATGATTTTTTTTCTTTCGATTAATTTATGGTACTGATTTTTAGTAACAATAGTCAGGAAATTCTTCACTGGTAAGATAACCCCAAACAGGATCAAGATAAGGTTGGTAACTGTCCTTTATCAAAATGTCTTCTTCATTCTAAAGAGTTATGTCTAGCAAGTTCCTTAGTTCTTTGTGTGAGCCCCTTTTCTGTGCCTTAGACAGTCTACTCTTCCTGAGATAAGCTGGCCTTCCTTGAGTGTTCTCAGAATTACCATGGCTACCACCTCTCCCTTGGGATCTCTGGTGGTGTAGTGCCTAAGGCACTTGACTGCTAACCAGAAGGGTGGCGGTTCAGCCACTCCTTGGAACAAATGTTGGAAAATCTGCTTCCATAGTGATACTGCCTTGCAAACCCAAGGAGGGGTCTCTATGAGTTGGATCCGACTTGATGGCAGTGAGTTTTGAATACTGTCTCTCTCTAAACTTTCCTGAAATTATCATAGTAATGTGAGTGAATCAAGGTCAGAAATATTGGAGAAGTAACATAGAAAATTCAAAATGACTTCTGAACTTAGATGAAGGCTCAAGATGGCATTCAGGTTCCAATTCTAGGACACAGTCTTTTAAAAGAAAATGCCTTTAGATTTTAGGCTCTTATGCAGAACCAGTGACATTTTGGTGGTTGTTGTTACTGTTAAACCAAAACCAAACCCACTGACATCAAGTCGATTCTGACTCATAGCAACTCCCATTGGGTTTCCCAGGCAGTAATCTTTATGGAAATAGATTGCCCAGTATTCTTTTCATGGAGTGGCTGGTAGGTTGAACCATCAGTCTTATGGTTAGCAGTCAGATGCCTTAGGCACTGTGCTACTGTTGTTAGATGCCTTCAAATTGGCTCTGACCCATAGTGACCCTACACAACAGAGCAAAACACTGCCTGGTCCTGTGCCATCCTCACCATCCTTGTTATGCTTGACCCCATCTTCGGAGTCACAGTACCAATCTATCTCACTGAGAATTTGACCGTCTACTTTACCAAACATGATATCCTTCTCCAGGGACTAGTTCTCTGTGACAAACAAACCAAATAGGTGAAGCAAAGTCTGGCCATTCTCCCTTCTAAGGAGCATTCTGGCTATACTTCTTCCAGGACAGACCTGTTTGTTCATCTGGCACTGCATGGTATTTTCATTATTCTTTGCCAACACCACTATCCAAATGGATTATTTCTTCTTTAGTCTTCCTTATTCATTGCCCAGATTTCACATGCCTATAAGTCTATAGAAAATATCATGCCTTGGTCAGACACACCTTAGTCTTCAAAGTGATATCTTTGTTCTTTAACACTTTAAATAGGTCTTTTGCAGAATTGCTCAGTGGAGTAAGTCATTTGATTTCTTGACTGCTGCTTTTATAGGCATTGATTGTGGGTCCAAGTAAAGTGGAATCCCTGACAACTTCAAATTTTTCTCCATTTATCGTGAATATAGCTTATTGGTCCAGTTGTGAAGATTTGGTTTCCTTTAAGGATTTTTAAACTTTTGGTTAGCAACTGAATACTTTACTCACTGTGCCACCAGGGTTCCTGTCATTGTTCTTACTGCCATCAAGTCATTTCCAACAGAGGAACCCCCATTGGGTTTCTGATGTTGTAAATCTTTATAGTACATTGCCCGTCTTCCTTCTGCAGAGCAGCTGATGGGTTTGAACCACTGACCTTCCAGTAGCAGTGAAGTGCCTTATCCCTAGTCAGCTCTGACTCATAACTGCTTTATGTACAAAAGAAGGAAACATTCTCATTCCTGCACAAGCCTCACAATCATTGATAAGTTTGAGACCACTGTTATAGTCATTGTTTCAACCTATCTGGTTGAAGGTCTTCCTCTGTTTTGCTGACCCTCTACTTTACCATGCATGATGCCCTTCTCCTTGGGCTGTTCCCTCTTGATAACATGTCTGAAGTATGTGAGATGAAGTCTCCTCATCCTTGTTTCTGAGGAGCCTTCTGGCTGTACTTCTTCAAAAACAGAGTTCATTCTTAAGGCAGTCCATGTTTATGTGGTACTCACTCTCTAAATTCTTACTTTTCTTTTTTTCTCCCACTTTCCTTATCTGCCACAGACTTGAACCTGCATACCAACAGGGCCATTTCAATATGTGTCTGGAAGAAAATGTTGCTTACTGCTAAATACGTATGCTGAAAATGGGATCTGTGCAATTCATTGCTATTGCTTGTAAATTGTCATTAGAAATCGTCCTGTCTTAAGACAAAAAAGTCTTCTTTGTAATAAATACAGCTATTTGTTAATGTATATTAATTTTATGTCATATATATGAATATATATAAAATTTTTCATGGGAATATTATGCTTTATAGAGATATGAGCATACCAAAGATATCCCTATATGTGCAAATACTTGCACATATATACAACAAGGAAATTACAAATGTAAGGTCATTCATTGAGTAGACATTAACAAATTAAAACATATGAAATAAAATTTTAAAATGTGCAACATATTGAAAATTAGAGATAGATGAGAAAATTTAGTTAGCAAAGCATTATGTTGCAGATTTTCCAGTTCTTAGGTATGTATGAAGAGTCACATTCCTTATTTTTTAAATATTTTAATATGAATAATTCAAAAATGGTAAAATTTTTATAAGCATATACAAATATATTACAGCAAGTATTTGGGTACAGACTAAAAGACATGTTCCAGGAATAACATAGAAGGCGATCAGGGCAAGAATATTATTTTAGGTATTTCTGATTGTACCTAAATACGGATCAGAAGATAATTTGATCAGAAGATTTTGATCAGAAGATAATTAAAAATTAGTACAAAATTGTTATACAATAACCACATAACTATTAACATTACATATATTGAAGGAAATAATTTGAATTGTTTCATTATAATTTTTTAAAATATTAGGTCAACGATTTACTTTCAATTAATGATTTTTCTTTTTTATAAAAAGAATAAAATTAGCATAATATTCAAATTTATTCCTATTTTTAGGGTCACAATTCCTAAAAATTAAACTTCTTTCACATTGACTCCTTTTTAAACTTTTCCTTTTGAATCAGAAAACCTCTGCTTGAAAACTCAAAATACCTGTTGAATAGTCTGCCTAGAGCAATGTTGATCTCCCTGTTCCGAAGACTAAAGATCATGGGGTTTATGAGTGGGGGCACCATGGAGTAGAATATGGCCATGAGAAGATTTTTAAGAGATGATTTTTTTGAGATGGGACCTAAAGAAGAAGTCATTCCAGAAGTTACAAACAAGACCAAAATTGCCAGCTGTGGAGTACAGGTGGATAAAGCTTTGTTACGGGCTTCTGCAGAGCGTATCCTAAGCACTGTTGAGAATATATTAACATATGATATAAACAAAAAGAGAAAACATAGTAAGACTATACTGGAACTTATAGCAACAAGAACAGACTCAGAAAACTTCACATCCGTTGATGAGATACTCAGAATTTGAGGGACATCACAGAAAAATTGGTGAATTGCATTGGACCTTGTGAAGGGAAGCCTGAACATGGTACCTGTGTGAATGGCAGAATAGAGCATCCCACTGGCCCAGGATCCCCCTGCTGCCTGTGCACACATACGTGGGATGACAGTGAGCCCATAGTGCAGGGGGTGACAGATGGCAACATAGCGGTCATAGGACATCACCACAAGGAAGGCCAACTCTGTGGATCCAAAGAGGATAAGCAGGAAAATCTGAGCAGCACAGGCTGGGAGAGAAATTAGTTTCCTGCCTGTTAAGGAATTCACAATCGATTTGGGAACAGTGACTGAGATATAGCAAAAATCTATGAGAGATAAATTGCCTATAAAGAAATACATTGGGAAATGAAGCTGTGGGTCTGTCACTATGACGGTAATGGTCAGAAGATTTCCAGCAACAGCACCCAGATAAATCAGTAGGAACAGCAGACCTTGTAAGACTTGAAGCTCGGGGGAGCTCGAGATATCCAAGAGGAGGAATTCTGTGATTATAGTTAGGTTGCCCATCACTGCTTATACAGTGCTTTTTTCCTGAAGTCAAAGAATAAAGGAAAATAAACTGTTAGGAATCAAGTGGAGGGAGGACTAATACTACCCACATGTAAGTTGTGAATCTGTAGCCTCCAGAAATGGAATAATATGAGCAATGAATATATGATTACTTACCATATTGCAACTGCAATGAGGACGTTTGATTTAATGAATGTTTAGATCATTTTCACATCAGCTGATAGATGTTGCTGTTGTTTTTTAACTTTTGACATTTTTATGCTAGGACAATCAGAAGTACCTAAAATAATATTCTTGCCTTGATCCCCTTCTATGCTCTTGCTGGAAAATGTCTTTTAGTCTGTACCTAAATACTTGGCAGCAAAGACAACTACAGATACAAATAAACTTCTTCTGTGATAGATTCCCTTCTGTCACCAACTGTGAATAGTATAAACCACTCAAATTTATGTGAATCCAGAAAGATATTGAATAACAAAGAAAGTCTCTGAGCACCCTTTGAGAGTGGATTTATAGGCAGATCAGAGCAAACAGATTAAATTTCAAAACTTCTCAGATGATTTGTGACCTTTACCTTCCCTTGCATTATTTATTAAACATATGAAGTAATTTAAACACAAAATGGATCCTTCTTTATCTGTTTAGAATACATTAGCTATATCCTATGCAGAATATGTATGTGTATATATGTGTGTGTGTGTTTGTATATATATACAAACACACACACACATGTGTGTGTGTTAAAGCAAAGGCTCTTCCTCTCTTTTTAATTTTTAAATTAATTTTAAAAAGTACATATGGTAAAAATCTATCTTTTGAACACAGTTCTATGAGCATCGACAAATACGTGAAGTTGTATAACTACAACCAAAATTCAGAAAAGTAGTATCCCTGCCAAAAAAAAAAAAAAAATCATTTTATGTTGCCTCTTTGTGGTCAAACCTTTGCATGGCCTAAAACCAAGGCACTTGGCATGACTAAAATCGCTGCCTCAGATATAAATTAAATTCCATTTTGAACCAAACTGAAGCTTAGGCTAAAATCTCTGCTTCTGCTACTCTGTAGAGACATTTCAATTACTAAAAGTTGAATTGCTTGTAAGCCAAAGGGAACAAGGATTGAGATTTTAACTTGCAAGGAATTGTTTGTTAAAAGATGTTTGTTAATAATGTTTACACAGCTTGATCCAAGAAGAATGCCTTAGTTAATATGTTCCAAGAGGTTAGAAATGAGAATGTTAAGAAAGATTGTAGTTTAACAATGCCCTTATAACTTTGTAAGGAGCTCTGGTGGTGTAGTGGTTAAGGCATTTAGCTCTGAACAAATGGTCATTGGTTCAAACCCACCAGATGCTTTGAGGAAGAAGATGAAGCACTATGCTTCTGTAAAGATTGATAGCCTTGGAAACCCAATGGGGTTTGCTATGAGTCGGAATCAACTTAATGGCAATGAGGATTTTTTTTTGTTTTATTTTGTAACTATTTGTCATGTACCTCCTTATGCCTATGAGTATATAATCCTTTACTTATTCCACCTGATAAAAATGTAACACTCATTTCTGTTGTTGTTGTTTGCCGTAGAGTCAGACCTGACTCATAGCGACCCTCCTTGGGTTTCCAAGGCAGTATCATTACAGAATTAGATTGCCCCATCTTCCTTCTGAGGAGTGACTGGTGGGCTTGAACCACCAGCCTTCTGGTTAGCAGTCAAGTGCCTTAGCCACTATGCTACCAGAACACTCATTTCTGGAACACTCTAATACCTTGTTGGTTGCTAGTGTGTCACCCAATATGCAAATCTCTCTGCCTTTTAATAAAACTCTTTGCTTTTACATCCAACAGATTGTAAGACTGGTGCTTTGCTTTGACAGGATTATGAAAACAACTTCAATTATTTTTAGCCCTGATTCTGAAATACATTGAGTATGCTTTCAGAGGCATCACTTTGCTTTAATTTTTTCACTGAAAAAATAAAAGCACTTATATTTATGATATTAATCCACATTTATCAGTGGATACTCACTATCCAAACAAGTATTTATTCATATGTTTCTTCCACCTCAAGTCATACCTTTATAATAATATGAAATATTATTTAATGGATATATAACATTTACATACAGTATTACCTATCCTTTAAAAAATAAAATACTCAATTAAAAATCCACATGCTAAACTTAACTAATTTATATATCTTTCCTTGAACCATTCCAACTCATTATTATTTTTCTTTAATGTAATCATTATTTCCCTTTAAAAAATGGTGCAGTGGAGGTGACTGATCTCTGAATTCATAAGAAGGGAAGAGGTTGATATCAACAACTCAAGGCTGATTCCTATGTGGCATAGATCAGACATACCTCCACTCTCCAAATTTTTTACCTGTTCTGACACCAATGTCCCTCCCATGGCATTCTCTTCTTCTCCAATGGCTTCCATATTAATGATGTTAGGTGCCATTGAATTGGCTCCAACTCATACAGACCCTATCTACAATAAAATGGAACTGCCCCATCCTGCCCCAGACTCACAGTCCTTGCTATACCCGAGCCTATCTTTGTAGCCACTGTACCAATTCATTTTGTTGTGAGTTTTCCCCTTTTTCATTGACCCTCTAGCTTACTAAGCATGATATCCTTCTCCAGGGAATGGTCCCTTCTGACAACATGACCAAAGTAGGTGAGATGAAGTCTGGTCATTCTCATTTCCAAAGAGTATTCTGACTGTACTTCTTCCAGGACAGATTTGTTAGTTCTTCTGGCAGTCCATGGTACTTTCACCATCCTTGCCAGCACCACAACTCAAAAGCATCAACTTTTCTTCAGTCTTCCTTAGTCATTGTCCAGCTTTCATATGCATATGAGGTGATTGAAAACACTATGGGTTGGGTTAGGCACACCTTAGTTTTCAAAGAGACATCTGTGCTCTTCTGCACTTTAAAGAGGTCTTTTACAGCAGATTTGCCCATTGCAATATATTTTCTGATTTATTAATTGCTGCTTCCATTGGCATTGATTGTGGAACTAAGTAATACTAAATCTTTGACAATTTCAGTCTTCCCTCCATTTATTATGATGCTGCTTATTGGTCCAGTTGTGAGGATTACAGTTTTCTTTGTATTGTGGTGTAATGCATACCATAGACTGTAGACTTTAATCTTCCTTAGTAGATACTTCAATTCACCTTCACTTCCAGCAAACAAGGTTGTGTTGCCTGCATATCGCAGATTGTTAATGACTCTTTGTGCAATCCTGATGCCAAGTTTTCTTTGTATAATCCAGTTTCTCAGATTATTTGCTCAGCATACAGATTGAATAAGTAAGAGAAAAGGATACAACACTGACACACTCCTTCCTGAT